CACTGCAGGCCCTGTGGAAGTCAGGCTAAGCGCTGCTTGTTTAGTATTCCAGGCAGGTGGAGCCGTCAGGTTCTTATCGCTTGTTTTTCTGTCTTTGACACTTGCTTCAGAAGAATCTGCAGTGGTGTGAATTAGTTGACAGCAATTTATTCCATATCTTAAAATTTCCTCTTTCCTTGTTTTTTATTCTTGCAGTGGAGATACACTTAGATTTGTTTTATATATTAAAAAATGAGTCAGATTTATCTTGTTTAACTTCTTACTCTGACTCCACAACATTTTTTGCCCCTGAAGAACTGTTTTTAACCTTCAACACCGTATCTGAATCTGAGAGGCTCTCATCAAACATTAAAACACACTTTTTTGGTATTTTAAGATCTTCAACCATTTGTATTTAATGAATATCTTTGATCTTTGTAAAACTTCAAAAAATTACTCCTAACCGTCTCCATGCAGTGTTTCCATTTTCTTTTCCTTCTGGTCCTTCTTGATGACAGAAACTGGGTGGTTCGCATATTTTATAATTGCCTGTGCTCTTTCCTGGGTCTTCTGGAGCAAGACTAGCTTCATGTTATCAATGAAATGCATGTTTGAGCTACTCAGGTGCACCAACTACAGTCACAAGCCCCTGTGTGACTTGTACTGTGGGTCATTAAAGCAACAACATTGCCATCCCTTATTTGCTAGAATGTTCTATGTCCCACAATTGATATTATTCATATTGTATGTTTCACATCTCTTTTTTTGCTGTCTGTCAAACCAAAAAAAAAATGTGTTAATGTGTTACCAAAATATTTATAGTTCCTTTTGAGACAGGGTTTCCTCATGTTGCTGTGATGCCCTGGCTTGCCTCAGAGTTGTAATTCTCCTACTTCAGCCTCTCAGAGTGCTGAGATTACAGCATCTGCCTGACCTACATAGCTCTTTCCTCACTCATCTTTCAGAAGCTTTACATCTGTTCCCCTCCCTTCCCTCCCTTCCTACCTCATAGCCATATTCCTGCACCCCTCTCACTGCACTGCCTGGCTGCATTGTCCAGAGCATCCAGGGTGGCAGGCAGGGACACTGGGAGAATCTGTGTGTCAGTGAGCACAGAGCAGCCACCTGTCCCCAGACTCTGATGCGAGGAATTTTTTTTTAACTTCCACACAGGTATCTGCTAGAGGAAGGAAGGAGAGTAAACGAAAAGAAAGAGCTGGAATCACTCCTTCCAGAAGAAAGAGGTAAGGAGCCAGAGTTCCCTGGGCTCCTTTTTAAGAAGGAGGCCAGGAGAGAGGATCACACAGAGTCACCGTCACACAGGGAGTGGGAAGTGGCCTGGCATGTGTTGCTCCAGGACGGTGGAATTTGCACAGCATACTCAGGAGAGACCCTGTGTCCTTGATGCTCCCACCCTATGGTCAGTGCCTGGGCAGTTTGAGAGCTGTGGGAGGAGACACAGCACCAAGGCTAGGTGCCTGGGCTGGACATGAAAATGCATTTCCTCCTCCCTGCCTCTTCTGGTCCTTCATGTCTCCCCAGGAAGTAAGGGTGGCTGTAGATCCCCAGACCTGTGAAAGCCACAGCCCCACCTGGGGCTGGTGCAGGGTGGTAGCCAGGGTAATCGTGGGAGCCCTGAAGACGCCCCATGACTACTGAGGTTTACTGTGAGGTGGAGGATCAGAGTGGCAGGCATGGTGTGCAGCCTGTGGGTCTTGATCCTGGGGCTCTTAGTGCTGGCTCTGGAAGGTAAGGAGGAGGAGGCGGGATACACCCACTTGCCAGGGGAGACAGGTGTGGTGGGCAGGGAGAGGGGTCCAAGAGGCAGAAAAGAGTGAAGACATGAAAGAGGGGAAGCAGGGGGATCATGAGGGACCTATGCCAGGTATTTCAGAGACAGGTTTCGGACAGCACCTGAGCTCCTGCTGCCAAGTGAAATGGACCAGGGAGGGACATTCTTTGGGTCCCCTGGTCATGTAGTGGCTGCTCCTGGCACTGTGTCCCTTCCTCCCTGGCAGAGGTGCTGCTGGACACCACAGGAGAGACCTCTGAGATTGGCTGGCTCACCTACCCACCAGGTGGGGCAATTCTCCGGTAGGATAGAAAAGTAAAGATAGGTAAAGTGAAGTCAAGGAAAATTAAAAATTTTAAATTATACTTTTAATAAAAAATGCAGTTTGAAAATACAAACTCAGTAAACAATCCTTAAGATTCTTAAAGGCACACAATGTGCCTGGCTCCTACCCATTTACCTGTCAATGAACCTCAGCCGTTCCTTTTTACTTGCAAGTGGGTCTCTCGTGTATTCTTTTCCTCTTACACAATGGGTTTTGCCATCACCGGAGGTGGATAGCACCTGCTAGTGGCTGTCACACTCTTCTTCTGCAGAAGATGACCATAGTTTGAGGACCTAGACTGAGATTTCTTTCTACCCCAAAGTCTCCATGAATATACCCAGCCCCAGTCTATCACGTGATGGTCCTCTCTCACTGGAGTGCCCACATTCTATTTCTTTAAATGTGTACTTTAAAATTTTTGCCTAATAAATCCTTTTCTGCCTCTGACCAACTAGTCCTGCATTGTTTTTTCTCTGATGGGAGTCAGCAAATGGACAGACTTATTTTGTGAGTAGGGAAGGTTTAAGTTCTCCATTTCCACTTTAGGAACCCCCTTGGGCCTTGTCTAATGATAAGTCTAACATAGATAGTACAGTTTGGGTTAGGGGACCACTCACCTCCATTCCCCTGAACCTGGGAGATGCCTGAGGGCCACTCCACCAACCTGTGTCCTAAGGTCCACTACCTAGAGGTAGAAAAGAGTTGTATGCGTCACATCCTTCACATGACCTACAGTAACCTTTCTTCAGTTGATGCTCATGAAAGATTCATGCATATGGACTGCATCTCCTACATCAAATTATAACAGAGTGAATTATGGGAAAGAACATAGGCAGTAGACACAGCTGACATGACTCAGCACCCTGTCAGTCACATTTCCAGGTGTGCTCTACATGACCCAGTGGGAGGCACTCTAGACCTGGTGCAACATTTACATTTCTTAAACCCAACATATTCAGTGATTGTGCCACTTTTCTTTCTCCTGGTATGAGCCCTCTCACTCATGTCATCGCCTCATTAAACTTGGCTACTCTCTCCTTACTTTCACGAGCCACGTCCAATTCTTTGTTTCTTGCATACAAGAACCTAGAAACTTGTCTGGAGCCCCATCACTCAGGGCAACACCTCCATGGTCCCTGGAGTAGAGAAATCAGACAAGAAACCCTGGGTAGCCAGGTGGGCTCAGACTCCTCCTCTCTGGAGGAAGTGAGCTTTAGGATCTCAGCTCCCTTCATAGCCTGTTATTAATTTTAGTCCAGGTAGATTAGATAGGTCCCCTTCATTGTCACCCGACCTCCCCACACAGCCCAGAAGCTAACCTTCTTCCGGCCCCCGCAGTGGGATGAGGTGAGCGTGCTGGATGACCAGCGCTGCCTAACTCGGACCTTCGAGGCTTGCCACGTGGCAGGGGCCCCTGCAGGCACCGGGCAGGACAACTGGCTGCAGACGCACTTCGTGGAGCGGCGAGGGGCCCAGAGGGTGCACATCAGACTCCACTTCTCCGTGCGGGCCTGTGCCAGCCTGGGCGTGAGCGGGGGCACCTGCAGGGAGACCTTCACCCTCTACTACCGCCAGGCTGAGGAGCCTGACAGTCCTGACAGAAGCTCTGCCTGGCACCTCAAGCAGTGGACCAAGGTGGACACCATCGCAGCTGATGAGAGCTTCCCTGCCTCCTCCCTGCCTCCTCCCTGGTGGCAGCTGTGGGCACCTGTGTGGCTCACACAGAGCCAGAGGAGGATGGCGTGGGGGGCCAGGCAGGACAGCACCCCCAGTCTGCACTGCAATGGGAGGGCACTTCAGTGGTGGCTGTTGGAAGAAATTGTGGTTCAAAGGCTGCTGGTGCCTCTTATTCACCATCTCCTCCCCCATGCTATGGTACCTGTTCGCTAGCACCTCACGCCCTCACCTTCTCAGAGAGTTGCATGTGGCCGATCAGGAACCCTTCATACACTAAAGTGTATTCCACCTCTTCCCCAGGAAAGCCCACAGCCCAGACTGAATGACTGACACACAGATACAGAGGCATTAGATTTGTTTCATCATGAGACTAACTCTACAGAGCAATTCTTTCTTCAAAGGTTCCATGGGACAATCCCTCAATTCCTTGACCCTTATGTCCAGTCTGCTGAGTCTGGTCTTCAACTAAGACAACAGCTTTGCTAGCTTTCCCCCTGCTCTACCCTGCTTCTCTCACTCCCCATTTCCTGAGAGCACTTTTACAGTGACTCAAAGACTCCCTGCCTCAGGCCCTGTTCCTAAAAAGTTCAACCCAAGGGTGTTGATATTAGCACTGCTGCAGAAAGCGGAGAATCCAAATTCTGAAAACTATCTAGGAGAAGATCAACTATTTTAATATCCATTATGAAGATATCAATATAGAAATGGGCTTACTCCATTCTCCCCTGGTCCTTGGTCACTGGAGATATTTACCCACCCTGGACTTATTAGATGATGGAGCAAATGTAATTACTCAGATTTTTCCCTATGATGGACTCATATTTGTAGGGTTCATGGTAATTACTACTTACAAGAAGTATGGAACTTTGTAGACACTGCTAAATGTCACTGCTGGGGAGAGGAATAGAAGATTCAGCTCTATTTAGAGCAATGTATGAGAGTTGAAGGATGTATCAATGCATTTACTGTTGCTACAACAAAACACCTGAAACCGGGTACTTTATAAAGATAGGAAGTTTATTTAGCTCATTGTTCTGGAGGTTCCAGAGCATGGTACCCGGATCTGCTTGGCTCTGGGGAGGGCTTCATTGTGGGTGGACTCAAAATGCCATGAAGAAGAGGTCACATGGCAAGATGGGGAGCAAAAGAGATATCCAAGACAGCTAAGGGGACTTGCTTCCTAAGAACCCATTCTCATGAGAAGTAATCCACACCACGAGACCAGCATCAATCCCTTCTGAAGATGGTGCCCCATGAACTGATTACCCCTAGTCATGGTGTAAAACCTTGTGAGCTGATGTAGTGAGAACCTGGAACACCCAGATTCCTCTGAACTCCCCTGGACATGAGAAACAGCCCCCTCTTCTGTAGCAGGTGTGCCCTGTCCCCCACTCCAGGATGATGCAGAGACCTCAAATAAGGTAAGTGCCTCACAAGACAATGCTCACCTTCCTCGGAATCTGCCATCATCTCTTCTGTTTCTACCAGTTTATAAACAGAGTTAAGTCTCAGTATAACCTGTGACAAAGCTGAGAGTGCAGACAGAGTGGAGAGGTCATGCACCCAAGCTTAGGGAGCACTGCCTGCTGGGCATGCACTGGTGGCCCTGGAGACTGAGCCTGAAGACCAGAGTGTGGTGGTCAAGGTAGAATTGGAAAGCTGGCTATGTGTGTCAGTAGGGAGCTGCTCCTCCTCCTCCCTCATGCAGAATTTAACACTTTGGCAAGGAGCCTAGAAAATGAGTCTAACATATGCTATTTGCTGACTCATGGAAGTTTAGAAAAAGTAACCGCCTTCATTAAAGTAAGTAGAGATGCTGAAAATTGCCTTGGAGGATTATGAAAGAAGGGATCAAAAGGCTTAGGAAAGTAGAAATGCTGTAATGGGTCCATTACATAAGACAGAAAAGCGTACCAGCTGATCATGTTCCTCAGAGAGCCCAAGGACACTCAGTCTACCAAGGTGACTTAAAAAAGTTTGGCTCAGGATGATACTGGGTGAGGTGGTTTATGTCAGGAGCTGCTGCTGCAAAACTGAGCTCCTTAGTAGCAGGGAACACAGATAAGCAGAGGAGCAGAGCCCAGGTGCAGTACTTGGTGTCAGATTTGAAGTGTGCACACGTACCCTACTAGGAGAAGATGTAAGGCCAGGTAGAAGGTGTCTGCGTAGCATCCCCTTTGGGGATGGCTCATACAACATGGTGCTCATGACGCAAAATATATGAGCAACACACAAGAGTTCTGCTTACTATACCTAATCTGAAGCATCAACAATGGATGAGAAGATAGCTAAGACAGTCACACCTATGGAAAGGCATGATCCTGCATTGCAACTCCATATTTGAGCCAGTTCTCAGACCCAGAATCTATTAAATGAAAAGGAACCTCAGAGGCACCAGAAGTCAAGCTATGCAACACCATGACAAGTAATGCAGTGGTGACTGCCCAGTCTTGCCCAAAAGGCCAATGCCTGTCTTTGTGGATAGCCACCCTAGAAAAAGTGGGTGACTCAGATTTGCCAAGGGCTGTAGGATACAGGAATATGTGAGTTCAAACTGATGCCCAGGAAGTAAAATCATCAATGAATCCCTTACAAGAGAGCATACACAAGTCAAGTTACTAATGCAGCACTGACCCAGGCCCATCTCACAGTGCTTCTGCTGCAGCCAGTTGCTCTCTCTTTTTTCCTCTCTCTCTCTCTTTTCCTCTTTCCTTCTCTTTTTCCTTGTTCCTCTTTTCTCTAGTTTTTTTTTCTTTTACGGTCCTGGATATTGATCTCAGGACATTGGCACTGAGCTACATCACTAGCCCCTTTATCTTTTATTGTGACATAGGGTCTTGCCTAGTCTCAAAATTGTCCAGGCTAGGCTTAAACCAGAATCCTCCAGCCTCAGCCTCCCAAAGTACTGAGATTATAGGTTATCACATAAGGCTTCCCTTTTTTTTTTCTCTGCTTCTTCCTCTCTCTGTCTCTTTTACACACACACACACACACACACACACACACACACAGAAACACACACACACAAATCATTCTTTCTGCATTAGGCCTCATGCTAGGTGCATAGAATTCATAAATGGAATCCAAGCTCCCTTGTCCACAGAAGAGCTTAGCCCCCAAAGGACAGGGACAGGTCACTGAACAGCACACTGTAATGCCCCTCATTGTGAGACACCCTCAGAGGTAGGTATGGGGGGGGTGACAGCCCAGAAGAGTAACAACTAACTCAACCAAGGTGGCAGGGAAATAAAGGACAGCTTCTCATCATCAGTGATGTTTGACAGCACATTGGAAGGGAAGTAAGTGTCACCAGGCAGAAAATGGGGATTCCCCTGTATTTTTCGACTTGTCTTCATTTGGGGCTTGGCTTCCACCATATTAAATCTCTTGGTGTGCATTTGCAGTTATGCTTAGCAAATTCTTTATAGAAGGTCTAATCATGAGCACACTCAGGAAGCTCTTGCATAAGCAAAAAATCTGAATCCTCAGGGATTCAGATTCCATACAGGAACGAACTTGGCTTCTGCCAGGTATTTCATTTCTAGCTCATGGATGAGCTTCCTTCCTGAGGCCCCAGAGCTCTCTAAAATTTGAGCATAAAACTACTCTGGTTGGAGGAGTGACACATGCAGAACAGTGGCTTTCCCAGTGTCCAGACTCTTGGGCCTGAGTTTCACTTAGTCCTTGGAAGAGGGTAAGAGGAAAACATGAAATATGCAGCCAGCTTAGGCTCCAGCTCTGCTCTGCCAGTTCTGAGTCTCATGGCCTGA